GGGGGAGAAACCTTAGCTGCTGCAGAGACCAATCTCGTTTATATGACAGGATGCTTTTTTGAAGTCTGGGAAATATTTTTAATCCAACTTCTTTGACATATAACAAACATAATCAACAAGAAAACATATTTAACAGACTATTGATCTAAAATGTCACTTTTCTTCTCTTTGCATTCCGCGTGCACGGTCTCCCCTGGTACACAACACCCCTTTCCCCCTAGGTCCAGATCCCCCCTAGCTTACATAGTCTTTGAGGTAGGTGGGCCTCCTCCACTCCCTAGTGGAGTGGTGTACGTCCAGAGCCAGGGCAGGGCTCTCTGGCAATGTTTTTGTCAGTTCTGGGGAAGGGACCTCGGCCATGGGGACCTCTGCTGGGGCTGATGTGCTGCTAGGCTCTTGGCTGCCTGTTGGTTCTGAGTTGCTACTGTCCTCCCCTCTGGGTAGAGTGCTTGCCCTTGGATGTGTGGGAGCGGTTGCCTCTGGTTCCCTGGGATTTGGGCCATCATATTTGCTGTCCTCAGGCATGCCCGGGTCCGCGGGAAGGAGGCGGCGGCACAGTTGATCAATGTGCCGCCTCCACAGCTGGCCATCTTCGCAGGAGACCTCATAGGAGAGGGGTCCTGTCTTCAGGACGACTCTTGCCAGAATCCAGGTGGGACCCTGGGCGTAGTTCCTGGTGTACACAGGGTCCCCTGGGAAGAACCCTCATGGGGCCTCCTGATCTTCAAGGTTTGCGCTGTGTTCTGGTGCCCTGTCTGGATGGAGGTGGTCCAGCCGGGTCATAAGGCATCGTCCCATGAGAAGTTCAGCTGGACTGTGGCTGGTGGTGGAGTGGGGGGTTGTGTGCTGGCCAAATAGGAAGGTGGCCAGCTTGTAGTCCCAGGCCCCCTGGTCCATGTGGCGCAGCACCCCTTTCATAGTTCGGACCATGCGTTCTGCCTGGCTGTTGGTGGCGGAGTGAAATGGAGTGGAATGTATGTGCCTTATGCCATAATATTGCACAAACTCCTGAAACTCTGTGGAGGTGAAGGCTGTGCCATTGTCAGCTACCAAAGAGTCCGGTATACCATGGGAGCTAAAGATCTGCCACATCGTGCAGATGGCCAACTGGGATGAGGTAGATGGGACCGGTACCACCTCCAGCCACTTCGTGTAAGCATCTACCAATAAAAAGCAGATCTGTCCCTGGAAGGGCCTGGCAAAGTCCAGATGTAACTTTGCCCAAGGCTTGTGGGATGACTCCCATGGCCGCACCAGTTCTTTCGGAGACTTGGGTCAGTACTCCTGACATTTCTGGCCATGCTTTACTGTGTCCTCGATTTCATTGTCCAACCCTGGCCACAAGACATAGCTCCAGGCCAGGGCTTTCATCCTGACTATCCCTGGGTGGCTCTCATGCAGGGTGGTGAGTTCTCGACTTTGCAGAGGTGGGGGTATCACCACCTGGCTGCCCCACAGCAAGCACCCCTTGTGGGAGGACAACTTGTCACAGTGAGCTGAGAATGCCAAGAATTCGAGTCTCACTGGGCTGGCAGGTGACCTCCTCCCCACCCAATATATATATATATTTTTTTGGGGGGGGAAGAAACCTTAGCTGCTGCAGAGACCGATCTTGTTTATATGACAGGGTGCTTTTTTGAAGTCTGCGTAATATTTTTAATCCAACTTCTTTGACATATAACAAACATAATCAACAAGAAAACATATTTAACAGACTATTGATCTAAAATGTCACTTGGTTAGATTTTTTAAAAAGTTCAGTTGGTTTCCTTGTTGTTAACAATATACCTTATCAACTTGGCCCCATCTGTGGATGCTTAAGTCTGCAAATTGGGACTATGTAGAGAGAAACAGATTTTTCTACAAACTTGGGGGAACCAGGTTTTCAGACAAATCTGAAAACTTTAAAAAATGGAAGAGGTTTGAATTTCACCAAAACAAAGGAATGCTGTCTGTGCTTGAGCAGACAATGTGCCTCTCTCTATCCAGCCTCATCTACCCTCCTTGCAGTGGAGGCAGCAGATAGAGAACCATCCATACCTCACAGGTAGAGCAGGAGAGGAAGCCACTGACACAGTCCATAAGCCAGGAAGATGGAGGTGGTGGTGTTGAAGGTGGAAGGGGGAGAGAAAGAGAGGAAGACTGAGGGACAGAAACAGTGGTGGACTGGTGAGGAGCAATGGATACTGCTCTTCCCCCAGCCATATGAGCCTCAAAGGCGGCAGTAATGCATACAGGTGGGTGGGAAGAGCAGGAGTTGGTGAATGGGTGTTCCCGTGAGTAGAGGAGGAAGGCATTCCATCCCCTATGGGTCTTGAAGGTCTTCCAGGAGGGAGAGCTGGGGCTGAGGCAGTGGCAGCACTCCTGGCCAGCTGGGGAAGAGGAAATGGAACTGCTGCCACTTCCCCCACTGCTGTGTGAGCTGGGAGTTCTGCAGGCAGCCAGGTGGAAGAGGAGAAGCCGCAGTCACCACCAATGTTCCCTCTAAGCTCTGGAGTCATGTGAGCAAAAATTCTACTTTGTGAACTACTGGCATTAAAGTTGTGAGTTAGCAATTTGGCTACTACATAAATTAGTCTGCTCTGGAGCCCTCCTTCCTGAGCAAGGACAAAAATGTGTGAGCCAGAGGCTAAAAAACTGTGAGCTAGCTCACACTAACTCAGCTTAGAGGGAACACTGGTCACCAGCAGCAATGCAGGTGGGAGAGTGAAGGAAGAGTGGGAACCAGCAAGTGGATGGCCCATGCGTGAGAGAGGAGAATAAGATTTCTCCCTCACCTGTCTTGTGGTTTTCCCACTTGTCAATAAACTGAATTCTCAGTATGGCCCCATGTGGGAATACTTAAATTATGAGATTGGAGCTATGAATAGACAAGAGATATCTTTCTACAAATGTGAGAAAAGAAGACCCAGGTTTGCATAAGTTCTTTTAAAAAACTTAAAAAAAATTATACACTCTGTGTGTGTGTGTGTTAAAATCCCACCCAAAACAGAAGCAGAACCTGTACCTTTAAGAAATGAATGCTCTCTAAGATCTCGGAGGGGGTTGTGGGGGTTGCTAGGCAGCCAAATCAATCTTGCCAGCCTTCAAACCTTTTTTTTGCCAGTAAAAGGCAAACGGAGGGCCTCCCAGTTTACCCCTGTTCCCGTCCTTCCTGCCCTAGAGGGAGGACTCATTGGGGCCAGGCCCAGAAGTAACCACTGAAAACTTGCTTCCATGCAATTTGTGTGACTTACCCTGGTGCAATGGTTACTGGATGACGTGATCTCATGTAATTCTCCTGGGCCCAGCAGCAGCCTCTGCACAACTTGTGCCACTTGGCTATGTTACCTTAAGCCACTCAGCCTAACCTAACTGACAGGGTTGTTGTTAGGATAAAATGAGGGAAAAGGTGGGGTAAAAATGAAGTAAATAAATTATAAAAGTGAAGACTGGGGGTCAAAGGAAAAAAAACCTAGTTGGTGAATGGGAATGAGACAGTCCTTGCTGGTTCCGCACTTGTAACTATTCTATTCCTGTGATAATTCTAAAGATACTGCCTTCACCCTTCAGTACATCAAGAACATATGATGATCCCTACTATCTATGATGTCTAAATACAGGACTATAGTGTAAAGCAACAGGTAAGGAAGGGTTTTCTTACATGCTATTCTGCATGTTTGAATTCACCCTAAGTGAATGGGAGCTGGGATGCAAGTTTGCTTGAACATCAGAAGAGCCTTTAGCTACACAGGTATATTTTGCCTGCATTTGGTTCTCCTGAGAAGTACTCCTGTTAAGGAATGAACTTAATATTTGAGTTATGGACTATGTTTATTGCTATACAAAATGGACTGTGCACACACACACACACACACACACGCTCAGAAAGCTGTACAAGTCACCTGTTGTGATACTACACATAGAAGGTGCATGCATAAGCCTCAACACGTGAATGAGGTTTCAGCTACACAGCTACCAGCCTGGTGAGGAAGCACACATCTCCATTATTGTCAGCAAAACAACAACTTGAGAAGAAGCAGCCCCCATTGCTGAACTGTTTGTAGTCCCGCACTCCACATCTCTGCTTTGTTTCTACATTGGCATTTCCTGCCAGATGGACCTTTGATGACCAGAGGAATGGCCAAGCTTCATCTGCACTTCAAGGGAGCATCCTGATGCCAAGTTTTCACACTTGCCCAGATGCCATCCTTTGAGTTAGGTCTTAGGTTACAATATTGTCCAATCCTCTAGGTAGCTACCCCTCACTACACACAACCAATGGGACTGTTTTTGGGACGGACTAATAGGTAGGTGGGTCAAGAGGTTGGCACAGTTGCCACCCACCCAAAAGACCATCTATAAAAGGTAAGGACCATTCAACTGGCCCTTCCTAGCTAGCATTCCCTGCAACAACCCCTGTCTGCTTTATACTCCCCTTTTTGTCCAGCTTGCTATACCCAAACCCTTGCCTCTACTTTGATCTCTTGATCTGCAGTCAGGAGACCCACACGTGCTGGCTGGTTCTA